CTCCTCCTTTCCATCTATCCTGTTTTGCCTTCCTTACAGCAGGACAGGAACGAGGATCTGATCATAATTATCGACGGCTCACTGTCAATTGTACATGCAAGCGGAAATGTTCTATCCAACCTCGGGCCTGTAATGTTCATTTTCACCACTACATACACCAGCCCCTGTTCCTCTTTGTATTCCACCACCACCACCACCTCCTCCTCCTCCTCCTCCTCCTCCTCCTCCTCCTCCTCCTCCTCCTCCTCCTCCCTTCCCGCCACACACCCATCCCCCACCCACCCTCCTCCTCCTTCTCCTCCGCCGCTCAACACTACATCTCACTTGCTCCAGGGGGACTACTACGGGGACCTGCACCTGCTGAGCCCGAGGATACAGCACGTGAGAGGAGGAGGCTTAGAGAGGGAGGGAGAGGAGGAGGGCAAGAGAGGAGCGGCAGGAGCAGGAGCAGGAGCAGGAGCAGGAGCAGGAAGAGAAGGAGGAGCAGGGGCGAGTCGCGAGCTCAACTGAAGCCCCGCAGGTCACGGTCATGAGCGCTACCTTCTGCGATGTCGTGTTCTTGAGCAAGGAGAAGGTAAGGCCGAGGACCTGGAGGAGAGGAGGAGGAGGAGGAGGAGAGAAGAGGGACAGGAGGAGGAGGATGAGAGAAGAGGGAGAGGAGGAGGAGGAGGAGGAGAGAAGAGGGACAGGAAGAGGAGGGGAAGGACAGTTGCTGGTGGTTGTATCGGAGGAAGAGCAAGGAGGAGGAGTAAGGACGAGAATGGAAGGGAGGAGAGAGAAAAGTGGTGGTGGTAGTGGAGGAGGAGGAGGAGGAGGAGGATAGAGAGAGGAAGAGTGGTGGTGGTAGTGGAGGAGGAGGAGGAGGAGGAGGATAGAGACGCAACTCTACAGCTCCAGGAGTGCGCCGTTGAATTTCCCTTCATCGCAGGATACTTTGAGGTGACGAGAAACATCATCAGTGTTCTCCTCCTGTGTTGACCTCGTCCTCCTCTCCGCAGCTGCAGACGGAGAGGTTCAGTCAAGATCCGACCCACGTGAAAGACGAACAACTAGCAGGTGTTTGGTTGTTTCGCTCCATCATCACCATCATCACTGTCTCCATCTCCGTCCTCTCCATCAGCATCAACAACGGCATCTCCTCCTACCGCCTCCCCTTCCTTCCCCTCCCCCTTTCTCTCCACTCTCCTCCCACCTCTCCTTTACCCTCCTCCTCCTC